TTTCTTATGCTATTTAATACTATTTTTCTGTTCTCCAAATATCTTTTATCCGAGATCAGCTATATAACTAAGCACTATGTATGATATGCTATTATATTGTTTGCTATGTCTGAGAGACTTAACTGTTTGCTTAGAGTGAACAGACATTTCATATAATACAAAAATTATAATGAAATAAAAAATTACTCTTCGGGCTTGTTTAACAAAGATCAGGGATTTTATAATCAACAATAAAAGACAAAAAAACCCCCAAGTTTAGGAATAGTTTGAACCAATATTTACAAAATTTCAAAACGATGCCTTCGTTATTCACAAGGAGCCATCTTTACTTTATGTCTGACCACTCCCTCAACTCCAAGATAGATGATGTGACCATTTAGTGGAAGAGTTTTAGATTGTCAGAGGAGTGCAGTGAGAGTCTCAGAAAACAATAAGCAGACGCTTCAGAGAGAAGGTGGCAGACACTAGGGCAGAAATCTGACAGAAGTAAGAAAAGGGGACAGGCACAAGGGGCAGAAGTGGCAGACACAAATGGTGTCAGAAAAGGCAGCGAGAAGCAAAAATAAAGGTGGCAAGAAGCAAGGTGAGAATGTGAAAGAGGGATAAAACTGGCTTGCATAATAGGTATGACATTCAGTCATGTATTTAATAGAAAGGAAATACAAGTATATGTGCATCTATGACGAAAGAGGAATTAACTTTAGTAAATTCTGTAATCTTTTATTTTTATCAGAAGATGTTTCAATAAATTCATGGGTTCTTCAGTACCCATGAAAAACAGGAAGGAGTCAGGGCATAATAAACACATTTGTACACTGATATCCCTGCCCCAACAGCACAACAAATGTAACTGTCCTAATCTCTCCTGGGTATCTAGGAAAGCTGCCACAAAATAAACAGGTGTTTGGGTTGGATGAGCTCAGTGACTCAGTTTCACAGGCTGTGCTGTTTACTGGTAGCCACAGCAATCACTTCCTAAACTTCGCTGCATGGCGCCTGACACAGCAGTTCTTTCTTCTGCTTGTTCCCTGTACTGTGTGAGTGCTTTCGTCTGAGAGTCAGCATCCCTTCTTAGACACGGACGCCATCTGTGGCCCTCGGGATCCCTGAGGCCAGAGGGAGATATACAAGAGAAAGAGGAAAGGGCTAAGAAAGACTGTTTCTATGGGAAGGGAAGGGAGAGAGAGACTGCAGGAGTGGGAAGAAAGGGGGAGGGGGACTGAGAAGGAATGCAGTTCTTCGTGTGAGTAGGATAAAGTAGAACCAACTCTAGATATTATGTACTGTCCACTTGGACAATGCATTCAACACCGAGGTCTCACCACTCATCTTCTAGAATGTCTTCTCCTCCACCTCACTTGGGTCATCCACTTGTGCAGCCACATTTGGAGTACTGAACACCTGTCCTCTCTGAAAATGACTAAGATCTCCTGTTCTCTCCTAAGAACACCTACGCTTATGGCTTCTTTGCTCCACAACCCAACCTTCGCCTGTTATTTGATTTCAATGAGATGTCTACTTTGTCTCTATATATTAACACTCTGTGACTTCCCAACAAACTTATAGATTATCCCTTCTCTCTCCTCTGTCTTCAATCTATCCTTCTTTCCTGGAGATTAAACGTGCTCAAGAATCTTTTATCTTGCACAAAATAACACCAAAAAAACTCAATAACAACAACAAAAAAACCACCCCAAAACAAAGTCTTTCTGTACTTCATCAGCTCCTGGTTACAACTCTCCCTTTTCTACGTCACAGCTAAATTTATGAAAGAGTTGGGCATTTTCTCTCTCTACTTAGTCACTTCCTGTTCACTCCCCATTCCCTCCCAGTGAGCTTTTTGCCTCTAGGTTTCCATTGAAGAGCTCCTCCTAAAGTCATCAACGACATTCATCAGCCGAGTCAGTCTGTACTGCAGTTGAGCCATCTTTAGCCTCACTGGGGAGTGCTGATAACTGCCTCCTCACCGGGGCAGTTTTCCCACAGCCTCCGCTGGCAGCACACTACTGTCCTGGGCTGGGCTGCCTCTATCGCTAGCTCCTTCTCACTCTCCTTTTTCAGCTCTGCTCCCTTTATTCCACCTCTAAAGAGCTATGGAGTTCTGCAGGACCTGACCTAAAGCTCACTTCTGTTTCTTTCCTTAGGTCATCTCGTTCACTCCCATGGCTCCCAAGATCACTTATGCCATGACTCTAATTTTGTTTTTTTTTTAGCTGAGCCATCCTGCTACCTGTTGGTAGCTCAGCGGCTGCTCAGCTTGGGCCGGGAATCGAACTGCTGTTGCTCAGAGCTCAAACCCTTGAGCGAGCTCTTAACCAACTGAGCCACTCGGCTGGCCCTCCATGACTCTAATTTTGTATCTCCAGTCTCACATGGTAACATTTTGCTGGAAAGTTCTACCTGAATGTCTTAGGCACTTCAAATACAGTATGTCTAAATGTACTCCTCTTCCAAATATTTTAACTGTACCATTATCCACACGATTTTTCACAACAGAAACCAGGGGGGGGGGGTCACCTATGAATCTCCTTCTTCATCACCCCCTCCAACATTCTCTTGCTAATCTAACTTGACTCTAAATGTCTCTTGAATATATCCACTTCTTCCATTTCCACTGCCAACAACCTAATCAAAGACACCAACACTACTGTTGTAGCCTCCTAAACTGGTCTCTAATTTTTTTTCTACACTATTCTTTTATATTCCTGCTAATCTAATTTCCACATTGCATTGTATTCCTGCTATTCTAATTCCCACACTTGGCATCTTTTAGAAATCCCAATCTGATCATGATACTTCTCTGCTTATAACATTTCATGGCTGTTTATATGAAAAGAAACTTCTCACATATTCAGAGAGCCCTTTAACATCTGGCCCCTCGTGGGTTTCCAGACTCATTTCAGCCTGTTCTCTTTTGTGTCTTCCACACTGTCGCCACTCAGTTCTGTCTGAGTTTCTTCTTGTGGCAGACCTTTCCACATACTGGGGTTTTTGTTTGTTTTCTGTCTGGCAGCCTCTTCCCTAAAAGATAACTTCTACCCTTTCCTCAGGTTGGCTAATCCATTCATCCTTTAGACACCTGCTTAACTGCCATTCTCTCAGAGAAGCAGGTTGGATTTTCTTTTGCGGTGCTTCTCACAATTATACTATATTGATTACTTGTTTAGTATCTGTGCTCCATGCCTCAACTCAAACCCCTTCCCCCACTGCTACACTGTAAACTCCATGAGGACAGCAATCACATCTGTTTTATTCATGAGTTGGTTGCATCTGTGAGGCCAAGCACACTCCCTGGCACACAGAATGTGTTTAATAAGCATGTACGAAAAGAATGAACGGATGCAAGTTCATTCCAACTTTGGGATTCTGTTGATCTCAACACAATAGAGAGCAAAGCGACTGATATTTTCAGGTTGTACTCAAATAACAATAGGGATAAATTGCAACTAGATATTCTTTAATTCAACTACAGTTTTCTCAGGAGGAGGGCATGCTAACAACTGCGTAACATCCAAACAACATCCTAAGTGAAACTGCCAAAGTGGAGGTTTCAACTTGTAGTTAATTCTACCCACAAAATACAATCCTTAAGCATGAGTGAGAAGACAGCATCAAGGACCCAGAAGAAGGAATTAATGAAAAAGATTCGACCGCGTCTTGCCTACGAGCCCGCGCCACCGCTCTCTCGACTCCTTCTGGCCCATCTTCCCTATCACATTCATACACTGACTTGTCCTTTGTCTAAGTTTGGTTAGGAAAAAAAGAGAAGGGAAGTTTAAGGAAAACAAAGAACAAAAAAGTCTAGTAAAGACTTTTCATTACATAAATATCTGTTAGGCAGACAGTACAATTACAGATCCTGCTAGATTTCAAATTGTAGTCAATTTCTTAAAATGCTGAATGAAGCATGGGGGAAAAAAAAAAGCAAGATAAAAGCCAAGTTTTGGCTGTACCCTGAAATATCAATCCATGCCATTTAGAAGCACGCTAGTTCCTTGTGATAGACGTCACTAGCTTCAATAACCAACCTATTTTCTTCTTCAATTTGGTTGGGCACATCCTTTTCTCCTGATACCCAGGGCTAAATGAAAGAACGAGGAAAAAGCTTTCTTTAAATAAATCTCTAGTTTAACCAGAACTCTATTTGTAGTAGACAGAAACAACATAGAAAATAATAGGGAACTGGAATTCTAATATGAAGTCTGACAATTAAGTTCGTGGACTCACCCTAGAAGAAGTGCTACATACCTCATTGCTGAATGTCACTACGGTCACTTTCGAAGTACTCCCCTTGGGAAGCTATGCACAGATGCCAGCACCTAGTCCACCCTTCAAAGCCATTTGGGAACTCTTTTCTGGAATGGCCATCAGAGCTGTTGTCGTATTACCCTTGATATCCTGAATGTCATCAAAATGTCTTCCTTTCAATATTTCCTTTATCTTTGTGTAAAGAAAGAAGTCACTGGGGGCAAGATCAGGTGAGTATGGAGGGTGTTCCATTTGTTTACTGGTGAAAAACTTCCTCACAGACAGTGCCGAGTGAGCTGGTGCAGTGTCGTGATGTGAGAGCCGTGAATTGTTGGTGAAAAGTTCAAGTCGTCTAACTTTTTCACACAGCCTTTTCAGCACTTCCAAATAGTAAACTTGGTTAACTGTTTGTCCAGTTGGTACAAATTCATAATGAATAATCCCTCTGATAGCAAAAAGGTTGGCAACATTGTAGCAACAAGTTTGTGGACTTCATTGTCACACCTCGTATGTTCTCTTTCTGCCACAGTGGGCATGACTATTGCTAACAATGATGGGAAAAGCATTTGTGTTCCTCCCACAAGGAAAGGGCGGAAGGTAAAGCTGAGGCTTTCAGGCAGTGTATTTATAGACAGATAACAGCGGTTTCCCCCTATTTACTGTGCCAGCCCTGTCCTGATTTTGATGATTTCATTGCCAGACACCGATTCCTATCATATCGCTGACTATCCTTCCACGTGTTCTTAACCTACCTTCACAGGGATGTCCTCTTCCTGGCTGGCTTTCTCTGAGGTGAAGACATACGAGATTTCTTTGTGAGACGTGTTCTGGCGGCAAATGGCACACTTAATGGAGCTTCTGTGAGACCCCACGCTGTACTGTTCGATAATAATTGAAATGCATTCATTACAGAAACAGTGCCCACAGGTCAGGACTGCCCACTAAAAAACAAAACACACAGGACATGCCTCAGTGAGATGCTGGCAAAGACGCCTTCCAGTTATCCATACATAAAAGGAGAAGGGAGTCAGAATTTCATTTCCTAAATATTTCATGGTATTTAATATTCTTGAAGTCATAAAAAAGTGAAGGTGTGCTTTTAAATGAACTCTTTTTCAAGTCTAACCAGAGTAAGCTCTTGGTTTTTAGTTCTGCTCGCCCCAACAGTGAGCACAGCAGTCGGTCATCATTATTTTCTGAGAAGTTGGTGTTATTTCAGTATTTAGGAAAAATGGAAACGACTCCTGTAGCACTCTAATGGCAGATATAATACAGGGACTAAGAATAACATTAATTTAGAGAAAATATCATACTCAATATATTCTATACAACTTATTAAACAGATTTACATTTTCTTATGTTAAAGCATTTATTATTTAGAGAATGAGATGGGCTAGTGCCTCAGATTTATTTTAAAGTGGTTCTGATACATTCAAAAAACTCCCAAATAAACAAAGATATTTTTGGAAAACCTCTTGTCTTATTTCTTGAAATAAGAAAAGCAGAATAATCCTCTCTGGGGCATCTCATGGGGACTTCTCCCCTTTTGGCAATAGGGGCACATAGAGGAACATTAGATTTAATCCAGGTGTCAGTTCTAAAAGCTATAGCATCTTCTACTAATTATTTAACCTTTTCACCTGGTACCAAAGAACAGTAAAAGGTGAGTGGTGCTGAGTGACAAGGCTCCGAAGCCCTCAGCTGTGCTTTTTAGGATCTAGACGTGTATGGACTAGTATGGAAAGGTGTGTGGATGGGCCTTCCCAAGGTACTTTGTAGGATAAACTAAAAACCCCTTAGAAAAGAACTCGCAAAGGGAAAAGAAATGCAGTATACAAGCTTCGCTTTCGAACAATGACTGGGAAGGAGGAGGGGGTTATCTGGGTTTATTGGCTGATGCTGTTTATGCTGCTCTTAAGAACTGTGCCAGAGTCCTCAGGAGTTGAGGCTGCAGAAAAATGAAAACTGTCACTAGCATTTCTGTAGACACACAGAAGCGCTACCCTGTGTACATCCAGTGCCACTGGGGATGCAGGGCACTTCCTCCACTTCAGAGGACTGGTTGCTGCTTGTGTGAGCTCAGAATGGACAGGCTGAAGAGGATGACAGGTCCATCTGCAATGGGGGAGAAACCTGAGGTCTCTGGCACCACAGCATTAGGACGGACAGGAAGCTGACTGAAAAGGCCTAAACAGAACAGAAATGGCAACGCCTCCAGGACAGCAGCCAGTGTAGGAGTCATGGCGCATCTCTAAATGAGGACTGGAGGAGAACTGGGAGGCTACAGGGGGAGTTCCTGAAGATTTTGGATATAAAGAGTTAGAAAAGTAGTATTTTATTACTCTTACTGTAATCGACTTGTTCTCCTAAGTGTAGGAGATTCAGATTATGCTGCAATTAAATGATGTACAAGAAAGAACTTTAAAAACTGGCAAGGTTAGGACAAAATTAAATAGCATTTCTGAGACAATCCAGCAGCATGAATCTCATCCAAACTAAAAGCAACTACTTACATCATGATCCTTTCCATTTTTATCATAACTTTTATCACATTTTTATTACCGACTTTTTATCAGAAATCATCAGTGTCTGTACATTATTATTCTGCTATTTCCATTGTAATACCTATCCCTTTAAGATTTATTACCAATAAAGTTTCCTTTGAAATCTCACATTCTCTCATAAAATCTGAAAGATTTCTTTCTGATTATAGCTGGTCAGAATGTAGAACTCATATATATTTAACTTTCTATTCTCAGTTCCATTGATAGGAAAACAAAACAACCCAAGAATACTTTAACGCATTTAGTAGTAATTAAATTGTCTTTCAAATTTTGAAAAGCAATGAATATTCTGATATTGTATCTATTGATTTATCATACAAAGTAGGAATTTAGTTTCATAAATCACAGTTGGTAGGATAAAAATAATCGTTTGAGAAGAACTAATATGGGACCATTAAGTTTTTGGACATTTGTATACTAATATTCACAAAGGAACATATTTAATTGCTATAATGGACTAAATTCCCCTAGGATTGCTGTTATTTGTACTTTAAAGCCTGGTATTAGATATTAATAATGCTAAGTAAAAGCTATGTTATTATACCTTTGTAATACTTAAGTAAATGTATGTGTGCTGTATTATATTTCTATGCAATTACCAAATAACCATGTCAAACCAACAAAGTCCAATTATTCAGACCCAATCTTGTGCCTGGGAACAATATTCAAAACTACGCATCTTTAATGAAGAAGATGGGGTTATTCTAGAAATAACGTTTTCACCTATCACTTAAGGAAAGACACTGCTCAAACATAATGTGGCATTGAGTATGTCACCAGCCTTTGGCCCAACCTTTAAGATGGAGAAAATATTTGCCTTGTATACAAAGCTGTTGAGACAGACTGGGGCGGGGGAGGGGGAGAGAGGATGCATGTAGAAGCCTAGGAAAACTGTAAAGTGCTTTATAAATGCATGTGATTGTTATTGTAATTTCACCTGTTTTCCCAGCTGCCGAGCACAGATTGGACAAGGCTCTGGATTAATACCTCCTGACGTTTTGTCTTGAGACTATTAAAAAAAAAAAAAGAATTCAAAAGTATATTGGTTACACTCTAAAACCTGATACATGTTTTACAACTCATTTATAGAAGTAAATGCTGGCAACCACAATTTAAATAACCCGATAGCCGAGATGACCTAATAATTTATATATTACCGAACACTATCATTCCTGGGATGTCCAAACACATCTTAGAGTTTCAAATAACAAATTAGAAAAGTCTACGTATGCATTAATAAATGCATATATATATATATATATATATATATATTAATAATGCAATCTTTGCCTAGAGGTATGTTGTAATACTTCCACTATTCAAGGCTTCGAACTACAGTCTGTTTACACTGTTCTATATTATATAGCACACACCTTTATAATATTTGTGTAACATATTTTCTATAGGTATCACCTTTTGTGACCTGTGTACCTATTGCAGACATAGCTAGTATTGTGACTCATATAACTAACACAAACAAATAAAAGGTTGATTAAAATAATCCACACCATTAATTATGGGACTAACAGATTAAATGGAAGAAGTCACTAAAGTGGTTTAGTGATACTACAGCATGGGAAAAAGTAGCATCTTTTAAAACAATACCTTCTCCAAGTTAGTTAGGTAAAGAAGCTGCCCAAGTTTTTTCTTAAGCTGTGATGTAGCAACAGCTTTATCATTTAGTAGCTTTATCCGATTTCGTTCTACCTAAAAAACAAAACAATTTCTTTATTCTCTCTCAGAACAATGGTAAAATTACATAGTAAAATTATATTAAACATGATTAATCCTTCCTCAATAATGTGTCCTCTTTTAAGAAAATCCATTTATATGTGAAAAAAATTTGCAAAATGGATACTAGATAAATTTCAAAAGAAAATATACACATTTTTTGCTTTATAGAAGACAAAATTCAATGTAGAATTCTTTTAAATAGGAAGCTTCCCTATATGCTTTAAGTTGGATAAAAATCAAATTGTATTTGTGCATCATTTTTCAGTAATACGTCATGGAACACAGAAAAATGAAATGATATGCTACTCTGGCCAGAGGGATTTTAAGAAACCCAGGGAAGAATCTCCCTGCCCTTCTCCTATCCGTGGACCCTCTCAGTAGAATACAGCAGACAGAAAAGGAGTATAAAAATAAGGAGTTTGTTTTCACAGGGAAAACTTACTGAGAATCCTATTATAAAAATTAAGTAAAATAGTATACAATGAATATTTCTAAGTTTTTCTAAGTCACGGTCTCCAAGCTTTATAGAAAGAAAAAGATTTAAAAGACTAAACAAACATGAGGAATAAAAATAAATTATAAAGAAAACAGTATTTTTTAATATGGAAGAGAAAAGGTTGGTGAAGTTACTTTTTAATCCTGAAATACAAAGAAGGATTTATTAGAAGATAAGTTGTCAAAATCTATTCATCGTTAGCAAAGAAAAAACACTGCAAAGGAAGTTTTTGGTTGTTCTTCGGGAAGATTTTTCTAGTTCTGAAAAAGCTGAGGTAAGACATATATTTAAATACTGACCAACAATATCTAGGTTTTGGTATGCAGGTGCTCAAAAACAGATTACTATGCAATCTGGAGAGAAACAAACAAACACTCCAAAACAGTGAATTTTAAGCAAGTATTAGACATGGAATTGCTCATCTTTGACTACGCTTGACCAACAAAAGTCAAAAAACTTCATATGGGTCAAACTGAAAGAGGTGAGGTTAAATGCACGCTTATTGACGAGGTCATTGCCCTGACTCTCTCTTTTATGGATTCTGGATTTTCTGTGATATCTGTTTGCTGTGCTCTTTTCTGTGATTTCCTTGCAAATTACCTCATGTGGTTCAATGATGTGAAGAACGGGAGGACTGGGCTTTGGCTCCTTAGGATGACGGACTCTTAGTCGTTCTGTAGCCATTGCAAGTTCATCAATAGCAGATACACGATTCCTCAGAGCCATCCAATATTCATGAAGCAACTGGGGGAACAAAGAAGACAAAGACAGTGATAAAACATGTAATTAAAACTGATTAAAACAGAGGTGCCCTGGTCCAAGTCTTCAGTGACATCTATGACACATACATTTTTTCATTAAGTGTCTGAAGTCCAACCGATTCTTGGGCCATTTTTAGGATGAGGAAGTACCACTGACAATCCCATAGGACACTGCAGAGTACTGCCTGTTTAGATTCTCAGGAACAGAATACCCAAAGATTTCTTGGTAGGACTGAAGATCTTTAAAGATCAATACTAGGATGGTGAAATCTGATTTATTTTTTAAAGAAACATTTTTTATTGTATTTCACATATTCAAAATAATATGTATATATGAAAACAAGAATACTAAAACACATAATTGGGTCCCCATCATCCAGTTTTAAGAAAAAGGCCAGTACCAATTTCTTCGAAGGCTTCTGTGTTCCTTCTCAACTGTATCACCCTTTCCTCACATATTCTTCCTTTAACCCCCAACAAAGAGGTAACCACCATTTTGAATTGGACTTATTATTCTGTACTTTTTGTTGAAATTATACTAATAATCTGGTTATGTGTGTTTCTGAAATTTATGGGAATGGTATCATTATAAAATTTTTGATATGCTTTCCTCACTACCATACTTTGAGGTAGACCATGACTACTGCATGGAGCAGTAGCTCATTCATTTACATTGCTGTGAACGTTTAGTCTGCAGTGTTATGTGGAAAAGATATTAATACACAAAGTTTTGGGAGAACTACATGATACTCCTCTGACCCACAGCAAGTAGCCAATTTGAGCCCAGAGGAAGAATCTAGAGCCAAGTGGACACTCGATAGTACTGTCTTCTTCCACGGCTGGATATAGTTAACTGTTTCTGTGCTTTTGCATTTACAATAGCATTGTGAAAACAAAAAATTATTATGAACCAATGATTTCAACACTATAAAAGTATCATTCCCCAACTTATCAAACATATGAATTAACAGTACAGTCAGCATATCTTCTTTTTCTGAATACAAATTTTTATCCTGCTTTAAAAGGCAAAAACTTTAGATTAAAAAAAAACATTAAATGGAATTATAATTTATAAATAAAACATTTCTTTCATTCTTTCACCTATCTCACCTGCAAAGTAGGAAAATGGACTAACAAATCCAAATATAAAGAATAATTCAAAATTAATGAATTCTGGACTCTCATCTCAAGGACAGAGTTTATTATATGATGAACTTATTAAAGTAGTAATATGGTCACTTTGTGAATTATTAATTGCAATGGTTTCCAGACTAGTATGTTGAGAAATACTTACTATGTTCTCCAATCTTCAAGGTTGCTGAAGGTTGCTGATAGCAAAAGTATAACAAAACGAAAAATGAAAAAAAAAAGACCCTACTCTAATTTCACAGAATAGCAGTGTACGAGCAATCTAAGAACAAAATCACCATTTTCACAGCTAAGTAAAAGGTTTAATAAAAATTTCATTTTAGTAATGATTTTTTTAGTAATTTAATAAATAGAAGTTCCTTATTTGTTCAGTATTATTATAATTATTCATCATTACAATCATTACATTTTAGGGAATGAGAAATTATGAAACCTCAAGTCTCTAAGCAGATTTTTAAAAACTGGAGAGAGAAAGAAAAGTGTTGATAAAAATTAATGTAAAGGAGAATTTCTGATATTGGAAGAGAGTTTAAAATGCTGTACCTTGTATTCCTTCTTCCAAGCTTCAAAGAGATCCATTGAAGCACTTCCTTCATCAATGAATTCAACATCAAATCTATGTGATTTTGCAAATGATAGTAGAGCTTTCATAGATCGCTCTGTCTCACTGATAGCCCAGAGACCCCGGTTGGTGGTAGGCATTCGATCATCCACCAGTCCTTCTTCATCTTCTATCATCTCCTCAAATATTGCAGTCTGGGCTTTGACTCTGAAGACATGTGAGAACAAAACAACAGTAACTACTACTGTCAGTGAGTAACAAGCGCTGTAAAAGTCATATTGACAGAGCCAACAGGAAACAAGGTCAGTAACAAAAATGTCAATGTCATGTCTACATAGAAGATCATGCTTACAAGTCTTTGGAAAAACCACAGCAATTCTGCAAATGCTTGGGGCATCATAAATTTGACCAGTGTTTCTTGAGAGCCATCTGGCATAATAAATGGCTATAAATTCCAGGCTAAAATCTTACCCTGAGAATTAAAAGAGTACAAAATACCAACTACCTTCACAGTAAACCATGCAAAAACAGCAACAAAAACCTCAGAAAACCACAAGATGATCTAAAAGTACACTGTCAATCTCTTTTTTTGGGGGGGTGGGGTAGGGGGACAATGAGGACTTAGCCTTTTCTCAATTTCCATTTTTGTAAAGTAGAAATAATTTTGCTAATGCCATAGCTACATGCACTCACTAAGTAATAGCTTAATTCTTGACACAGGATGAAGACTTTAAATTTGTGTTGGAAAAACTGTATTAATAAATAGCGAGAGCTAACATTCTGTAGGACACTTACCATGTATCAAACACTATGCTAAGCAATTATGTACATTCTCTTATTTAATATTAAAAAAACTCAATGAGGTAAGTGCTGTTACCATCTTCATTTCACAAATGACAATACTAAGGCTTAGAGAAGTAATTTGCTCACACATGGGTAGGGATTTGCGTTCAAACCTGTTGTACTCGAGAGTCCATTACTCCCCTAAACTGTCTCTCGATTAGACATTACTACCTGACATAAGCACTTGTGCATTGGTAAAACCGAGCATGTTAAACGATCAAATGTCAAAGTTTACTGAATTAATTTAGTGAGAAAAAATATAAGAAAGGTGACTGTGAGAAAAATATAGTCTTAGAATTTAAAACACCAAGTCTTATAAATATTTCATTTTTCCTGTTGGGAAATGATCAGAGAACTTACGTGTAAGAAAATAGCTTCGATTCATACTCTGTGAACAATTCATCAGCCTTACAAAAGACACAGCTGGAAAAGAAGAAATTATCAGAGAAATATCCACAAACACAACCAGCAATCAGGTAATTTCTAAGAAAGGTTTAGTATTTTATACTTCACTTTTTCTTTTCAATAAATTTGCCATTTTAGAAAAAAAATTACACGGTTTTAAGTATGTGGTCCTTCAGGGTTTCTTTTTTAAAGTTAGATTAATAATACAGCTCTACTTCTGTCTGAATTCAAATGAAAAAACTTGTATTATGTGAACCATTATTTCTTCTCTCAGAAGAAATGTTGCTTAGTAGAAAGATGCCATTTCATCATAGGATTTCTCCTATTACCTACCAGTTGAGAGGAAGTCTGGTTGGTCGGAGGTGACAGATTGTTGCAGACTCAATAACATCACGAGATGGAGGAGCCTCCAGGTTTTTCACAGCCTCTCTCACTAGCTTCTGGAATTTAGTTAGCTCATCCATCTGTGTTGTAAGTAAGAACTGAAGACCTCTGCAGTCATGGAATCTGATTCCCATCACCAGCACCACACACAACATAAAGAAATGAATAGTAGGTCAATTTCTTCAAATTCAGAAAATGGTTGTTGAAGAAAGTGTGCAACAGTTCACAGTCACATTTTAGTTGAGTTTACCTTAGGAATATATTCAATTGGTATGTATTACTAGACAAGGAGTAAGGACATTGGATTGTCTACTATAAAAAGTTCGATAGTGCCTGCTGTCAGGAACTGAGAAAACAGTACTCAAAATCTATGTCTCTGTCTCAGATGTCTTTGAAAGACCAGGACTGTCACACTCTTTCTTTTTAATGCTGACTAACTACAGATGTCACTCCTGACATTCTAACTCTGTGTAGAGAGGTAACTGCAGGATGAAAAATAGACAGAAAATTGGAAAGAAAGAAAGATAGCCAAGAGTTACATTCCTTGTTGCATATACATCTTTTTTATTAAGCATTTACTATGTATGACACTGTACCAAGCACTTTTCCTGTGAAATCTCAATAGATATTACTGTGCCCATGTTATGAATAAAGCTTAACATATTAATTTAAGTTATAAAGTTATTATGTGGCAGAGTTAGGAGTTAAATCCAAACACAATACTCTGAACTATTCTGATAAACTGTGAATGAAATGGGCTAAGAAAAAAAAAATGTATGCATGTGTGTATAAGGGTTTATACCTCAAAAAGGTACAGAACAAGAAGAAAATGGAAAAAGAAACATGATTTGTTTGCTTTTTAAGTTACGTGTATATCCTTCTCCTTCCTAAAATGTCATATGCCCTTCTCTTCAATTTGTTCACAAGAGCCAATTCTCTTTCCTGAAGGTTTCCCCAACATTTCACAACACTAATCTATGGTCCTTTCTGTCCATGGAGTTCATACACACACACACAAACACACACATAATAAATAAAAATGCTAAACTTACCTATAGATAACTTACATATTTTAAAATGTATTTTATTACTTTCTATTTATGTCTGATGTTGTTTAAAAGAATGGTTGTAATGGTTGTATAATGAATGGTACATTTTACATTTCCTATTGGTCCTTTTACAGTCCTGGGGCCTCAAAACATTCCATATGGGATGTGTTCTAATATGGGGATTCATTGCTTTTAAATATGTTCTGTGTGATTTAAGAAAAACAAGTTCAAGATATTTAAAATATTTTCTTATCAGTTGATTCCAAGACACTGGCAGAACACATTAGGATATAGTTTTTAAACTGGATAAAATGAACCATGACTCAAATGACAACTTATTCGGGAACAGCGATTCTTGAGCTTAACAGGGAACAAGGAAGCACAACCAAGAGTGCAAAATACTACACATATTTCAGAAACGAGAAGCCCTTCAGGTTCTATACGGTGAAAAAGATGATAACTGTAATAAAGTACATCCAAGTTAGTAATGACAGATGGAAAATATAATGTATTTCTTTAGGATTTTAGCAGACATTGGAAAAGCTTTTAGAAGAGTGAATGAAACCATTTTAACTTTTCAAAGATATCCTTATGATGCAGTTTTCACTGCAAATTAACATTAATCCCAAGGCTGATCATACACTGGGTTGCAATCTGAGAAGAAATAAAAGATTCTCTCTTTCTACCTAGAGTTGACAATTCTGCTACGACACCTAAATTCCCACATCAAACAAACATTCCTTTGGGTTATGCACTGAGGGTACTTTTGAATAAGGGCAAATTTGTTCTTTGGGAAAAATCAGTCACCATTTATACTGGATTATTGCAGCAATAATCCAATTTATGTATGAAGACCCTGAAGAATAGTGAGTGTTGATGAGTAGAAAGATGGGAAAGAGAGAGCAGGTAACTACAATATAAAACCTGGGCCACTGTGACACTAAGATGCTTAGAACTTAGGCAATGAATTATACAGGGACATATACATGCCTTATAAATGCCTTACCCCAAGGGCAAAATTGTACAAAACAGTCTATTTCAAAACTTTGGGGCTGGCCAAGTGGCTCAGTTGGTTAAGAGCATGAGCTCTGAGCAACAGGGTCACCGGTTCGATTCTCACATGGGCCAGTGAGCTGCGCCCGAGCTGAGCTGCCAACAGGTGGCAGGATGGCTCAGCTGATGAAAGCATGTGCTCCTAACAACAAGGTTGCTGGTTTGACTCCCACACAGGACGGTGGGCTACGCCCACACACAACTAAGATTGGACACAGCACCTTGAGCTGAGCTGCCGATGGGCAGCCGGATGGTTCAGTGGTTAAAGCATGCGCTCTTAGCAACAAGGTTTCCGGTTTTACTCCCACATGGGATAGTGGCTACGCCTACCTGCAACTAAGATTGAACACAGCACCTTGAGCTGAGTGGCAGCAAGCTGCCGACCGGCAGCTGGATGGTGACTGGACTTGGAGCTGAGCTTGCTGCGCCCTCCACAGCTAAGACTGAAGGACAACAACTTGGCTGTTCCCTTTCCCCAATAAAATCTTTAAAAAAACAAACAAAACAAACAAACAAAAAACTTTGCTTAAAGTTGTTGACTTTAAGCAACTTTGTCCAACAAAGATACAAAGAAAATACTTTGAGCAGGTTTTTTTTGGAAAAAGCACTAAAGAGAGACTATTTTAAAATGACTAACATATAGATTAAAAAGGTTTCTTTTTTAGACTTATACCTAATATTTTGATTCAAAGTGTATTTTAACAATATGTAAAATCCAGATGTTCATAACCACAATGTGTTCTAATATTTAATTGTACCTGTTAATACCAAATGATCTGAATGTCTGGGCTAACTACTCAAGTTATTCATTCTACTTTGTACTATTTTCTTACTTCTCTGACATAGAAAGTTTGCAAGTTTGTTGCTTGTAGTTGCTGGTTATTTCATTTCGCACTCGTTGAACGAGCTCCTCTTCAATAGCAAATTCTATTGCTCTGTGGATCACATTTAGCCACCAAGGAGAATTAGAATGAATCTGTAATAAAGACAATAGCTGATCAATTCATTTTTTTAGCACTCAGTATGTTTCTAGCACTTGGAAGGGTGCTGTGAAAAATTCAAAGGAAGCAATAAATGCTACTCAAGGGAATTATAATAGTGGAGAAACAAGTATATACGAGTATACTCTCTATACGCGTACATTTGGTGAGGTGAGTACAACTCTTGCGTATATAATTAAAGAGGACACCTGTTTCCTGACTTCACTGGATGAATGAGAATTTATTGTATACACGTATATAACAAAGTTGTGCTGAAAAATACTTTACCAAAATGAAAATTCAGTACTCACTCCATATATTTGAAAAGGTAACAGGTTTCTTTCTTAGTGTAAAGACATGCTAATACTCAACTAATTGAACTAGATTCTACTCAGTGAATAATCTATGATAACTAACAAAATTACATGCCTGAATATTAAATAATTAATGAATCAGGAAGAATAAAATGTGGAGCAACTGATTAAAATAAAAAATCACATGACAGCATTTTGTGTAGTTCCTCTTTTAGATTTTGCTACTGATTTCATGAGAGAAATTTTAGAAATGACAAACTGCACGCTTTCCATAAGAAAAATACTTGTGGTTTTAATGTTCCGACATCTTAAAAGAAAAGATTTTCGGTAACATACACATCTAAGATCAAAAGGAATCTATAGAAGTTTTTACTTTCTTCAAAAGACAACTTGTTATATACCCAAGGTAAAAGGAACCCACAATAGCTTAGAAATGAAAGAGAATAACCTTGAGATAGGTGATTTATCTATACATTCAATCAATAAACACTGCTAACAGCAAATAAACTTTTATTGTTAGACAGGCACCATACTGGGGGCTTAGAATTCCAAGACGAATGAGAAAGTTCAAGTTTCTCCCCATAGAAAAACAAAAGCCAAAATGCTCTGTGGAGACAAAGAGAAGGAAGAAAAGTCATTCTGGGTACGTACACACCTTTCTTTGGAGCTCACGTATGGTCTGCTGCACAGGAAGCAAGGCTTGCTGGGCTTCTGCAACTTCTGTGTTACACTTGGTCATATAATGCTCTCGCAGCTGTTTGGCCTGTGTGGAAATGGGAAGCAACATAAACTTTCACTCCAGCTCTAGAAAAGAATTTAGTATGATGTTTTAAGATCAACATGGTTATTTTATATATTTAAAGCTACTTAACTCAAGCATAAAACTCTATGAGTATACTATAGAGAATATAAAAGCCATGCCAGAAATTCCAAAGATATATATTGAAGAGAACACATTTACCTGTAAGTCACAAAATTTAAGAAATCCCAAGGGTTTGTTCCCCAAATTTCTAACTTTTTAATTAAAAACAGGAAAGAAAGAAAAAAAAAGAAAGAAAGAAAGAGGGAGGGAGAACAGTAACTATTCAAATTATGAGGCAAAGCAAGGTGATCCCTTTTAGAATCTCTTGTCTTATTTAGTTATTACAATTTCTTGGAATTACTCCAGCTTAAAAATAATGCTTGAGGATGTACAGTAACACAGGTGTTAGACGGAATTATGTTCCCCCTAAATCCATATGGTGAAGCCCTAACTCCTACTGACTATGTATGGAGAAAGGGCCTTTAAGGAGGTGATTACATCAGTAAATGTAGTTAAATGAGATCATAAAGGTGAAGCCCTAATGCAACATGTCTGGTCTCCTTAAAAGAAGGGAGAGAAGCAACAGAGATGCAAGCATACAGAGAAAAGGCTATGTGAAGACACGGAGAGGAGGCAGCCGTCTACAAGCCAAAAAGGGGCCCCAGAAGAAACCAACCCTGCTGACACCTGGATCTTAGACCGCCAGACTCCAGAACTGTGAGAAATAAATTTCTGTTGCTGAAGTCTTTTAGTTTGTGGTATTTGGTTATGGCAGTCCTAGCAGATTAATACAGCAAGGATTTAAAAATTCTTCTCCTTTCAATTTTCCCAGATAAGAAGGATCACATAATTTGCAAGAAACAGAAATACTGAAAAATTTTATTCTTATAAGCCAGATGAAATTACCAATATTAGACCACGTTTGACATAAAAATGGCAATTTCATGAAGTTTGACTGAACAGATATATCTGTGAAGGCACTGCTTCCCTGGGCTTCTGTCACTTCATTTACAAAAGGTGGGGGCTGAAACACATGATTTCTTTGATCAATTAGTTGGTCATTAAATCTATCTACTAACAGACTGGACAGTCTCCCAGAGTTTCCTATCACTAAAGGCACTGAAACAAAGACTGGCTGATTATATGCAAAGATTAGATGTCTGTACTGGGAACAAAATTTCACTGGAAAATTTCCAACACTCAGACTGCCATCTAACATCAAGAAAGTGCTGTATGTACTTATACAGTCTCATTTTTTATCTTGTTGGTTTAAATAAAGGCTCTACTTATAGGTTCAATACATTTCAAACATATCCACCACTCTTTTGATTTAAGCTTTGCTATCTCTCTGAACTTTAAAAAGGCAAAAATCCATGGGTGAATTAGCACCATAAGCTTATTAACAATTTACAGTGAAATAATTTATAATAGCACTCTTTCCAATGAGAGGCAATACTCATTGCAGAGGGAACCTCTTTGAGAGGACATAAGAAATACCACTGAAAATCTGAGTTTGCTTACAGCCATAATTAATACACAGAAAGGTGGAGAAAGTACAAAACTTTTATTTTTACTGAACTACATCTTTTGCAGATATGTCATCTGATCAATAAGGTCTCTCTTTTTAATTTGTTGTTTATTTACATCCTGTGCTATTGACTATCAACAACCATATCTACAACAAGCTGTTACCATATAGCTATGAGCAGATCACCAGAGATGCACATAAATATGGAGTATTGCCATTCTCTGCCACCCAAAGTCACTGCAGCAAAGTTTGGAATGTCAGAGCAGCAGGAAAACATGATGACCCTTATTTAAATGTTGTATACCTTATGAACTATGAATTAGATTGAGCATGAAGTCTGAGAAAAGTATTCTTTAATAGAATGAAAAAAATAACAGTTACCTCTTCCTTAAGCCTGCCATCTCGCAAGGTAGGAGGTATCCCTTGGTGCTTGGCTGCCAACAATTCCATCAAGTTATGGGTAGCATGAAGTCTCTACAAACACACAAAAGGCAGTGACGATGACAGCCAATGAAGGAGACTCTATAGAGAACCTACTATCAGTAACTGCATACAGAGCACTGGTATCACAGATCATAGCACTAAATACTTTTCCTCTAAAACAATTTGAGTACTAACTTTCTCAGAGAAAACCAAAGTCAGTTTTATAGTAAAGGCCTTAATTCATAATGGTCTAAGTTTTCTTCAATTAAAAATATAGTCTTATGAAGTATATCTATACATTTAGCAGAATATGTAATATAGGTATATTTCTTCTATTATACATGCATTTGTCTACATGTAGAACAATGCCAATAAGACCAGTAAAATAAAAAGGTAGACTGCATAGACTTGATTCCTCGTCTCTTGGGAAATGAGTCTAGAAGAGCCTACCAATTATTGACGATAAAACAGGGCTGTGACCTGGATCTGATGAACCTGAGCTGAAAAGGGGAGGAGCTGGAGGTGAAGATGGAGTAGGAAGAAGAAAACCCTATCTAATATCTCTGTATTCAATATAGGTCAGGTTTCTTATGATGATATTGAGTCTGCAACTGGTTAGAGACTCCCTTTGGAGTCTAGCGCTAAGAGAAGAAATAAAGTGAAAGTAACTTCTGTTAACTTGGGAAAATGGATTAGGGCTAATGGATAAGCAGGAGAGAGTCCTTCTGGGAAGATCTGATTTGGTGCCAGTGATTTGAGACTACAAAGGTTTACTCCGTTCGGCTACAGTTTATGGGCCATGGAACAGATCTTGGTAGAGTGAATCTCTGAAGAGTTACTCAACTGTTTCAGGTCTTTTCAACATGGCTTCACAGATAATACAATCAGTAATACTATCAGATTTAATAGGAACAAATGTGTAAATAACACTAGAGACACAAAGCAGTAGAAACTCGCTGCTCTTGTCTATGTGAGCTCATGGAAGAGGATTTCTGTGCTTTCTGCACGAGGTGATGGAAGAGGCTGGAGGAACACTTGTCTCTCTCCACCCCCTTTATCCCAGGGAGCAGAGTGGCTCATCTAACAGGACAGAAGACATTCCAGTGGGCCGTGCTTTACCAGTAGGTGGGGTTGAGAACCAGGCTGATTGCTTACTCTTGAACTCAGGCATCGTGGACTTATCTGTCTTTTTGCCTACTCTTTTTTGTTTCTTTTATTCAGGAGCATACTTTTTCATTTCCTCCTTCTCCCATGAGACAAACACACTGGCTTAAGGTCCAGTGCCTGCCTTCTATAATCCTTATTGATGCAGAATAAAAGTAGACTTGTATTTAATTTTCTGTCCTCCCCTTTCCTCTCCCCGAAACACACTTCCTAACCCACTGAAGTACATGCGAATTTGTAGTCCCAAGGTCTTGATTCTGAATGATAAAGAAGTCTCACTAGGGACTCAAGTCTAAACTTACTAAGATTAATAAAAGTGGTTCTTATATTTAACATTTAGCTAGAGCCTTGTCTATATAATCCACTGGACAGAACCAAGAATGGGAAGAAATGTAATAATTAAATGCTGTAATTCAAACATCCAAATCCCCCTAAAAGACTTCCAAAAATTAAATTAGAAGATCATTGGATAGGTTTTATTATTACTTAGTTCCACTGCTGAGTTTAACTCATTTTCTTTTCTTTTTGGTGAAAACCACGTGAATAAATATGTTGAGGTTCATGTGCAAAAGTGATAAAACTGATCTCACTCTTGAAGTACAAATAACTTCAAGCTGTTTTTCTAATGTAGGTAAGATTTATCTAGTGAGCCTTGTTGCCGACACTGGCCTGAGCATACGGAACAGCAGTGGTTCTCAGACTTTCGTGTATAGTTGGACCTCCATATCTGCGGGTTTCACATCTGCACATTTAACCAACCATAAATAAAAATATTGGGAAAAAATATTCCAGACAATTCCAAAAACCAAACTTGTATTTGTCACATGCGGAGCACTATGCTGAATCCACACAAACAAAGTGATGTGTAGGCCTATCCTGCTGTAGCCTATATACAAATATAGGTTATATGCAAAACTGCGTCATTTTATATAAAGACTTGAGCATCTGCAGATGTTTATATCCTGGGCAGAGAGGGGTACTGGAACCAATCCCCCCAGGATACTGAGGGAAGGCTGTATATGAAAATCACCTATGGTGCTTATCAATAGGATGGAATCCCAACTTTCAGTCCCAGAGATTATGACTCAGTCCATTTGTTACCCTTTATCTTCTTAAATATTCAGAAAAGTTGGTTTTTAAAAAACAAATGAAATATACACCTGAAGCTGTTTAGTTTTTACTTACTTGGAGTGAATCGGTTTTGAGTTTTCCTTTATGTTCCTCAGATGAACGCAGCACTTCTCTGTACAGTTCTGCTGCCAATGAGTATTCATCTGAAGAATTAAAATGTATTTAAAGCATAAGAAAATAATGTATTTAACTCCCAAAGTGATCTAGTTATCTATGTTTACCAATGTCTGTAAAAATGTAACTAACAATTATGCTTCACTATTTTTTTAAGAAAAGGAATTTGACTTGTATTAATGATTGCCCCAGTAAAAAAGCTGACAATAGCGCCCTTTTTGTTAATTCTATAGAACAGAATACCAATCAAGTATATTTAACAATGTTTTAAAATTACACTGAAAACCAATTGGATTGACTTCTAATTTAGACAAATGGTTTTCCTGTTATTGAATAAGAGAGTGCCAAACAGTAGTCATTATATGCTTACAATTAAGGACAAATTTGGGGTAATTATAAGTATTTATAAACAAATATTCTCAACACTATGACCAACCTACACATAATTCTCAGAAAAACAATATACTCTTTTTGATAGGTGTTATTCTTCCTAGTGGCCAAAATAGATTGCAATTAAAAAACCACATTTCAAAAATTTAGGGATTCTTCTTTCCATTTCTGGTCATACCAATCAGTTAATCTGAGATTTATATTGGTTTTTGTTGTTCTTGTTCTTAATTAGCAGTTCATTCAAATAAATTAATTTAAAAAATATTAATTAAAAGTACAGATTGAGACACTATGCCCCCGGGTCATATCAGATTGTCTGCATTTTTGTAAGGTCCATGAGCTAAGAATGCTTTTTATATTTTTTAATTGTTGAAAAAAATTCAAAAGAATAATATCTTATGACTTGTGAAGATTATATGAAATTAAATTCAGGGTCCATGAATAAAGTTTTATTGGAACTCAGCCACACTCATTTGTCTGTGGCTGTTTTTGCACTGTAACAGTAGAGCTGAGTAGTTGCAACAGATCTTTCAGGTCGCAAAGTCTAAAATATTATTATCTGGTTCTTTCAGAAAACGTTTAATGACACGTCAAGGAAAGGAGAGGTGTGACATTTTTTTTTTTTTTTTT